CAATATTTAAAATTTTATTAAAAATTTTAAAATATGCAGGCAAATTTGCCTGTGTTACAATCTAAGGGATAATAAACAAAATTTTAGCATTCACTAAAAATATTCAATTCAACATGGACTTATAATATTATCAGCAACTTAAACTGTATCTTGAAACTACAAAAAGTTCTTGAGGAACTAGATCTGGCCTAACAAAAAAGATTTAGAAAACAGGCTGCTCACTATGTTATCAAAAATAATCTGCTTTATTGAAAAAGTAAAAAACAAAATAAACTTTTATTATAGGTAATTAAGAAAAATAAGTTAGAACAGGTGCTATATGGACTTCACTTTGATCTAATAGCTAGATATTTTGAGACCAAATCAACTTACAATAGAGCTAATGGAAAATACTTTTGGTTATATATATATATAATTATTACTAACTATATATAGGCCTGCAATGTGTATTAATAACAAAAAACTTACCAACTATATGAAGAATTATATCCTTTCAAAGTGAGTAAACCTTTTGATAGAGTGGATATTGATATAGTAGGTCCGTTCAAAGATATCTCTGAAAATAATAATTGTTACATTGTTGTGGCTACAAAATACTTAACAAAATAGCTTAAAGCCCATGCTATTCCAGATATAATAGTACTCACTATTGCAAAATTCATCTATAAAGACATTATTTGTCACTACAGGTATTCTAAAACTTTTCTATCAGATCAAGACTGTTCTTTTTACAATAAAATTGTTGATGTTTTATGTGAAATAATGACTATTCGTTATAAATTATTAGCTGCTTATCACTTTCAAACAAATAGGTTAACCAAAAGGTTCAATAAGACTTTGTGCTCAACCTTGATAAAGTTAGTAGATAATCATAAGACCATATGAGATACTTTACTACTAGTAGCTCTCTTTGCATACTGAATTTTACAGAACCACACTATTAAATACAACCCTTTTTTTCTTGTATATAGTTATCGAACTATAGTGCTACTAGATCTATAACTTCAAGAAAAAAACGAAAGCTTAGAAATATCATTAGAATAATCTCTGGATCAATATATAAAAAAGATTACTGAACAATTAAGCCAACAACAAATGCAAGCTCAAGCCAACATTAAGAAGATACAAGAAAAGCAAAAAGAATACTATAATAAAAATATAAAACCTATAGAATTTAAAATAGATGATCAAGTCCTTCTATACAAATTGGTCAAAGAAAAGGTATAAGTGACAAACTAAAAGAAAAATAGCTAGACCCTTATTATGTCTACAATTACGGAGCTCTTGGAACATATAAGTTAAGAATGCTAGAAAGAAAAATTCTTAAAAACCTAGTAAATATGAATCAGTTGAAGAAATATTATAGCCATCCTTCATAGAAGACTACTATATTTATTTAAAATTTGTAAAAAGTGATAGCAAAATTAAAATTGTATCAATAAAATTTTCTGATTATTATAATGATTCACAAGTAATTTGTGTTACTTAGGGGACCTCATGTTTTAAAGAAGGAGTGGTGTAATGTAACTATTTATTACATCCTTAGGAACAATAGTAATTATGTGATACTAATGCACTATGATGATCATGTGACTACAGTGACAATATTGTTATCCTGTCAAATCTTTTGTTCTAATAGCTATTCGATTTTACTTTATTTATTTTATTTTATTATTATTTAAATTATGTATTTATCTATCTATCTATTTATTTATTTAAGTTATATTATTTTATTTATCAAAAGTCGTATTAGTATAAGTCATCATGCATTAGTATAAATTGTTATGCATTGTTATAGAACAGTTTATTATTTTAATAGTTTATTATTTTGATATTGTATTTTATTATTATTATTTTATTATCTTATTATTATTTAATATTATTTAGTTATTATTATTAGAGTAGAATTTAACAGACATATAGTACGCTTAATGCTTAACGATTAGCGATTAGCGATTACACTTAGTGATTAGCGATTAACGATTATACTTAGCGATTAATGATTTACAATTATGCTTAGCGATTAACAATTAGCAATTACGCTTAGCAATATGATTAGTGCTTAATATTTAACGATTAGCGATTACACTTTACTCTTAGTATTAAGTAAACTATGCTTAGCTGCAATAATTAGCGATTAGCTCTAAAGATATAAAAAAATGTAAATTTCTCCAAGTTAGCATTAGACCTGCACCATCCATCTTTTAGACCCAGACTCCCCTCTTCTCTAAATTCTCTCTTGTAATATTATAAGATTCTTTAGAAATAGGAATCTAAGAATAGCCTATCTTATTTTCTCTAATAAAACATATATTTTATCTATAAACTATTTTCTGCCTGAACTGCCACAGACAAAAAGGTATAGTTTCTAATTGTAGTAGAAATTATACTTATTTGTTGGATACTACTATAAACTTGTGAAGGATCCCTGTAGCCATGTTATTATTATAGTACTGCTGTTAAGAAGGCCATGATACTGTAACATTTGGTGCCTCCTGGCAGAAAATATTTTAAAACCATTGCTGGACAATATTATCCCAAACCCCTCTTAAATTATTAGCTATTTACCAGAGGATAGTTATCTCAGATTGCTATATTGAGTATTGCGGATGACAACCTCTGTCACCAAGGATTTATTTAGCTGGTGCCTAGACATATTTTCAGGACAACTAAAAGATTTCCCACAAGCCAAAGTGTAGGCATAAGGATCCAACC